ACCAAACTATAAAAAATTAATCTGATGCACGCTAGTGACTTGCTACAGGATGGAGCTTCCTGGAGTTCTAGTGAGAATTCGTGACCAATAAGGTCCAATTAGATGTCACGTGTGTGGATGGATGTCTCACCAACGACAATGGTCGGAATCACGCTAAATCACGAATTAGTAGAAGTTAGAATTCATGCATTGGCTATTGAATCGGGTCCCAGTGGCTGAATGGTATACGAGCTTGCCTTGTAACCGGAAGGTCCTAGGTGGGTACGTACTGCCGATGATTCCCAAACTAGGATGAAACAGCAGCTGTCCAGTACTCCCCGGTTTTCACTGGTCCTCTAACTGTCATTTCTGTACTCAAAAGAAGTATATTCAGCCGCTTTGTTTTTATATTGGCCTGCATTAAGGTAAAAAAAAAATCCTCTGTAAACATTAATAATCAATACTTTAAATTTCTGTCTCAATTTTCTCATTTTTCCCTTGGGTTTACTGAAAGCTTTTCAAATTTGTTATTGTATTCATACAATCCTTTATTTCACACTTTATCAAACTCCTCATTACCTGATACTACTTTAGGTAATAGTTATCTGTGACCTTCTGAACTTTCATCAAGAGTATCCCATTTGTCAGTTTATTTCTCTGTAGTAGTATTATTAGCATAACTGACCACAACGCACCCTTTGAAACCTATACTTTTTGTTGATGATAAATATTTTATCTCATATTATCTAGCGTTCTTATCGATGATACGTTTTATATGCATTCATCTTTTATTTATATTACAATTAGATGGTTGGAAGTAACCATCAGGAGACCTTAGACCTAGGTTTCGTGCTTGCCGGCACTCATCAGCGAGGCGTCTCTGAAATCTTGGAGGAACTCGTTCCATCTAGTGCTGCAATCGGATACGTTACCACTCAGGTATTCGAGTTGACGACTGACCTTCTGTAGGACTGTATTTTATACTTTGACTGGATACTACTACCTAGTGTCATCCGTCTAGTCCTGTGTTTCGTGCAGACTGAATTCTACGTACATTTTTCAAGCAAGGTATAACAGCCACAGCCAGAGAATGCTTCCCATGCGGATACAAGGGAATATTCCAGCATGGTTTTACAAGGCAGGCAGAAAAGGGCTGCGAATTCTTATTCTGGAACACTTGATCGAATTCTGTCACTCTAACAGATGATTTTAAGATTTGTTAATTTTTACGAGTTTGACCACGGATTGATATCAGTTAGAGAACCACTGAAAACCAGAGAGCACTGGACAGCTGTTTCATCCCAGTTTGGGAATCATTGACAGTAGGTACTCATCCCCAGGTTCGAACCCAAGGCCTCCCAGTTTCAAGGCAATCTCGTATATCATCCAACCACTGGGACTCCATTCAATGGCCAGTGCATGAATTCTAACTTCTACCAATTCGTGATTTAGTGCCACCACCAACCAGTGTCATCGGTGGGACATACATCCTCACACTTGACTGGATGGACCTCACTGGTCACGACTTCTCACTAGAACTCCAGGAAACTCCGTCCTTTAGCAAGTCACTAGCGAACATCAGATTATTTTTAAGAGTTGATTTGTAAGGATTCGATTTGTTGTTTTACGAGTTTAATCACAGACTGATATCAGTTAGAGAAGCATTGAGAGCAAGGGATTACTGGACAGCTACAGAATGGAGTTCCCTGGAGTTCTGGTGAGAAGTCGTGACCAGTGAGGTCAATCCAGTCAAGTGTGAGGATGGATGTCCCGCCGATGGCACTGGTTGATGGTCACCCTAAAATCACGAATTGGTAGAAGTTAGAATTGATGCACAGGCCACTGAAGCGGGTCCCAGTGGCTGAATGGTATACGAGATTGCCTTGAAACTGGGAGGCCCTGGGTTTGAACCTCGGTGGTGGGTGCATACTGTCGATGGCTTCAAAACCAGGATGAAACAGCTGTCCAGTACTCTCTGCTGGTTTCCAATGGTTCTCTAGCTGATATCGATCCGTGATCAAACTCGTAAAAAAACAAACATAATCCTTAAAAACCAACTCACAAAGATTTTAAGATTGCTCATGCATTTCGTGTTAATTTGTGGCATTTTCTTTGTTCCAACTTTCTAAAATCAGTGAAGGCTTTGGCCATTCATAAATTCAGGTTAGCCTTTTGTTTACAAAAGAGGTATGTACAATCCTTATTTCTACCTTGTTCATAGAGGGATAAACACTTATATATTTTTTCATCTTGTTTATTTAATCTATGTACCTTTTCCTTATTGTTATTATTATTATTGTTCCCTTGGGTTCCTAGTGGAACATAGGGCTTCAACTACACCTCTCCACTTGCTTCTGTCTTCTGCTGTACCTTTCACCTGCATCCATGTTAGTCCATACTGTTTCAACTCTTCTTCACACGATCTCCTCCATGTCACCCTTGGACGTCCCACTCGCCGCTCCTCTTTCGAGTTCCAATCGAGCTATGGCCTGACGCGCGATTTCACCCAGTGACCCCCTCAGTGAGTGAATGTCCAATCCATCTCCACTTTCTCCTGCATATTTGTTGGGCGACCGGTTCTTGTTTTGTTTCTTCCCATACTTTGTTTCTTGTTGGTGATTCTTTCCGGCCATCTGATCTTCAATATAGAACGAAAACAGTGAGTTGTTGATAAAGGTCTACAACAGGCTGTTGGAAATATTCTTTGTGACCCAACAAGTTTCTGTTCCGCATAGAAGCACTGACTTCATTTTTGTGTTGAAAATTTGAATTTTGTTGTTGATAGTGAGTGACGAAGATTTCCAGATTGGTTTCAGGTTGGTGGATGTGTTTCTCGCCTTCCCGATTCTCGATTTGACATCCTCGTCCGTTCCACCTGCCTGTAGTCGAGACAATGCTCCCTAGATAAGTGAGTGAAAGAAGTAACCTCTTTCAAATCCCTCCCGTTGATGGTGATTGGCGGTGGATGTTGCTGCTGCTGTTGTTGTTGGTTGGTTGGTTATTTTCATAACCTCCGTCTTGTCTATGTTCACCTGGAGTCCTGTCTTCTCCAGCTGCTTCTTCGACCAGTTAGGAATATCATTAGTGATAATAAGCACCCTTGTCTGACTCCTGTGTTTACTCCAAAAGCCTCGCTGAGTTTTCCTTTGTGGATCACTTGACATGTGCCGTTGTCGTACAGCTGTTGAATGAGGTTGATGAATATTTGGGGTACGCCGTAGTACTCGAGTAGTTTCCAAATTACTTCGTGGTCAACGCTGTCGAAGGCCTTCTCAACGTCTATGAAGGAAGTTGAGGTAGGGGTTTGCCATTCCATGCTTTATTCGATGATGATGCGTAGAGTTGCAATTTGGTCAGAACATGATTTGCCTTTCCTGAATCCAGCTTGTTCTGGTCGGAGTTCTGTATCCAGTGCGTCCTTTATTCTCTCCAGGATGATGCGACTCAGGATTTTACTTGGCGTCGTCGGGAGCATGATTCCTCGCCAGTTCTTGCAGAGTCCTAGGTCACCCTTCTTTGGTAGTTTCACGAGTTAATTTTTCCTCCAGTCAGTAGGCACCTTTCCCTCCTTCCTAAGCTTTTGCAATAATGGAGTCATTTTCCTTATTACTACAATTATTATTATTATTCTTACTTCGAACAGTTTTCAGATCCATTTCACTTGCCTGATTTATTATTTTAAAGTAGTAATTTTTTGTAATGTTAAATTCAATTTTATCGAACTTCTCTCCATGTTACGTAATGTTTTAGTTGCCCAATAATCATATTAATCCCATTAATTCCATATCCATTTCCAAGATGTATACGTTTTACGAACTACTATTTTATACGTTATCTAATCTCTTTTATCGCTTGTTATCAAACCGTAACTGTAACTACAAATATTTTACCTCATTTCTCATTATTTGTTATAATTGTTCTATTTTATAATATATATGATATTATTTGTCTTATCACTAAAACATGCCCATAATTACGTAGGCAAAGCACTCATTAACATCCAAAAATTGCGAAATAGATCGATCGATAAAAAGGACAGATAATTAGGTTAAACAATGTGAGAACTTTTCCAGCTTTCAACCTTTTTCAGCATAAAAAAGCCATACAAAAAGACTTCTGCACATCGAGCGAGATTTAGACTGTTATCTGTGTAGAAAAGCGTTCAGAATGAACAACCTTGACGAACGAATCAGATTGCTCCATTGTTTAACATTTACTTTTACTCACAATCTAATCTGCTATTCTATCCTAATTATTTTCTTTGTTACAGTTGCATTTTTTTTATTCCTTCACGTTCCCAGTGGAACATAGGGCTTCAAGCTTCCGTAGCAGTGTTTATTCTACACGATGGGGTTGCTAGCCTCATACCCAACCTTTCCTCTTTACCAGATTTTTATTTCTGACTAAGCGAGGTAAAGGAGTGTGTCGGCCGGGGATTGAACCCCGGACCATGCGCATGGTCGGCAGGCGTCATAACCGCTATGCTACCAACGCACACTACAGTTGCATTTAGGATCATTTTAGGGCTAGATTTAGTATTAAGGTTAATCTACAATTCGGATTAGCCCCTGGTTAGGCTTGTAGTTGTCTCAACTACAGGAGGAACGGACGAGGATGTCAAATCGAGAGTCGGAAAGGTGAGAAACACTTTCATCAACCTAAAACCAATCTGGAAATCTTCGTCACTCCTCAGCATCAACAACAAAATGATTCGGATTTTCAATACAAACGTCAAGTCAGTCAGTTCATCTATACGGATCAGAAACTTGGCGGGTGACAAAGAATATTTCCAACAGCCTGTTGCAGACCTTTATCAACAGCTGTCTCGGCTCTACACTGAAGATCAGATGACCGGAAAGAATCACCAACAAGAAACAAAGTATGGGAAGAAACAAAACAAGAACCGGTCGCCCAACAAATATGCAGGAGAAAGTGGATATGTTTCAATAAAGAAAGGAAGACGAAATTTGCAGTATAAAATGATATCATTCTATTTCACAGGTTCTCATCAGCTGCAGACTACCTGAAATTACAATGGTTATATAAATGATAATAACATACTTTAATGTTTGATTAGTAGTAGAGAAGAGATAAAATTGACGCATCCAAAAAAGAATGAAAGCATTACAATTTTTAGTTTAAGTTATCATCATCAATTTATACACTTTCAGAGTTGAAAAGAGGGGGGAGGGGTAAGACAGAAAACAGAAAAATTGATTAACAGAAACAGTGTTAGCTTGTAGGTTCACATGGCAACTCCAAAAAACAAAAGCATTTACAGTTTATAAGATTGAGATTTGCTCAGTGAGTTGAGATCACTGAATTAGATGACTAATCAAAATCAAAATTCAGTTACCAAGGGAGTGAGAGGTTAATCACACTCTCTTTCTGTATGCATAAGTCTGGTTTAAATCGTTTGATTGCGATCGCTTCGGCAAATCGTAGTAAATTTGCTGTCCTTTGTCTATTTAATATTTTGAAGGACTTAGAAATCTCTACGAGATGTCCGGTATCAACAATATGTCTGGTAATTGCACTCTGAGAATATTTGCTTCCTTTCAGGCATAGGTTTCTTGGAATATGTTCAGAAAACCGGATAGAAGCCCTTCTTTCTGTCCTTCCAATGTACTTGCTCCCGCAAGTGCACGTAAATTCATAAACGCAGTTGGAGGTGACATCAGCAGGGTATTTATCCAGTTTTGAGTGGATCATGGAAGGAGTGGTGTTGTATACTGTTATGAGTTTTGCTGCCGGGAAGCTTCTATTTATTGCTCCTTTCAGTCTTCTGTCAATCTTTTGTGAAACTGCATCTCCTTTGAATGGGAGACAAATAAACACTTTTTTCTTTTCTACAGTTGGATGCTTTTCTTTCTTATCTTTTTCTCTGCTATACTTCTGTATAAATCCTTTAGGGTATCCGTTTTCCCTCAGGCATTTCTCGATGAAATCTAGTTCTTCTTCGACCTTGTTTGGTGAACATAGCTTCCTGGCTCTGTCGTACAAAGTCCTCACTAATCCACGTTTATAGCTTATGGGACAAAAGCTGTTATAGTGAAGATACTGTCCAGTCCAGGTTTCTTTTCTATAGATGGACTTTTCAATCATGCCTTCGTTTGTTCTTTTTACATTTAGATCCAGGAAATTGAACTCATTTTTATGTTCATATTCCATGGTGAACTTGATATTTGGATGAATCTCATTTAGGCAATCATATAATGCCGATGCGTGATCCATGTCGTTGCAAACAACAAATGTGTCATCAACATATCGGCGATAGTAGGTTGTTCCATTGATAGCAGAACTTAGTTGTGTCTGTTCAAGGTAGCCCATGAAGATATCAGCCAGGATAGGTCCCAGAGGTGAACCCATAGCGACCCCATCAATTTGTCGGTAGAGTTGATTGTTGAATTTGAATTGTATATCTTTTGTGCAGAGCAGCAGTAGTCGCTTCATCTCTGTTTCCGGTAACGGTAGTAGATCCGTTTGTTTACAAATAATATCAATCGTTTCCATCAGTGGTACGTTTGTGAACAAGGAGGTCACGTCATACGATACCATGAGTTTGTCTGATATGTCAATGTCGTCAACTTCCTTGGAGAATTGGTAGCTATCCTTCAGGCTATGGGTTGCAAATTTAATTCGAATTGGCTCTATGGAATCAGCTAACCATCGAGCTAACTTGTGGCATGGTGAGTCAATCATTGACAAGATTGGTCTCAAAGGCACGTTTGCTTTATGGATTTTTGGTAGGCCGTACATAGACGGCAGGCGTCCACCTTTTGACTTCAATTTATTGTATGTTTCGTTGTTGATTAGTTTCTTCATTAGAAGTTCTTTGAGACATTTATTTACTTTATTTTCAAACGACGTTGTGCCATCTTTTTTGTTGTCTACTTGGAATTTTTCTTTGTCGTTTAGAATTGTCATCATTTTATGAATATAATCAGCTTTGTTCATTATAACAACCCCAGAGCCTTTATCAGGTCTAAATATGACGATTTCATCGTTCTCATATAGTTTCCTCAGAGCTATTCTATGCTCTTCGGTCAGCATCTTCTGCTTCTCCATTGGCGATATGTGGTATTGGTTAGCAATGTCAACAAGTTTAGACTTTAGCCATCCTCTTTTATCTTCGTCTAAGGGTTTCAGGTCGTGGAGTTGATGGTATAAGTGTTCGAATTGTGCTTCTGTATCTATACGACTGATCTGCTTCTTGGGGACGTGAAACTTGAATCCTAGAGATAAGGCTTCTAATTCGATTTTGTTTAATTGTAATTTTGATAGATTACAGACGTAGCGTTCAGGTGATTCTGGGAATTCTTCGATTAGTTTCTCTTTCACCAACGCTTTTGTCAGCTGAGTTTCATAATCCTTGGATGTTTTTGATTGTAGCTCTTTGATAAAATTCATGAATTTTAGCCAGCAAATAATATTAAGCTCGCTTAGTAGGGTATCATAGGTAGCCAGACGAGATTTCAATTCGGAGAGGTACTGGTATGAAGATTCGATGTGAGATTTTGTTATTCGACGGAGATTCTTTTGGGAAGGTGGGAGTTTAGCCGATCGCACTTGTTTCAGGAACTGCCGTGGGAAACAACCTGTTTGCAAACACTGTTCATAGAACCTGATCTTTGTTGATTCTCTAGATATTCTGCATCGTATGGTCACCACCTGATTCAGTGACTTAATAGTTTTGGCAGGGAGGCGTCTTTTCAAGAATTTCATACAACTGGTTCCCTTGATAAATTTCGATAAAGAAAGGAAGACGAAATTTGCAGTATAAAATGATATCATTCTATTTCACAGGTTGTTGATACCGGACATCTCGTAGAGATTTCTAAGTCCTTCAAAATATTAAATAGACAAAGGACAGCAAATTTACTACGATTTGCCGAAGCGATCGCAATCAAACGATTTAAACCAGACTTATGCATACAGAAAGAGAGTGTGATTAACCTCTCACTCCCTTGGTAACTGAATTTTGATTTTGATTAGTCATCTAATTCAGTGATCTCAACTCACTGAGCAAATCTCAATCTTATAAACTGTAAATGCTTTTGTTTTTTGGAGTTGCCATGTGAACCTACAAGCTAACACTGTTTCTGTTAATCAATTTTTCTGTTTTCTGTCTTACCCCTCCCCCCTCTTTTCAACTCTGAAAGTGTATAAATTGATGATGATAACTTAAACTAAAAATTGTAATGCTTTCATTCTTTTTTGGATGCGTCAATTTTATCTCTTCTCTACTACTAATCAAACATTAAAGTATGTTATTATCATTTATATAACCATTGTAATTTCAGGTAGTCTGCAGCTGATGAGAACCTGTGAAATAGAATGATATCATTTTATACTGCAAATTTCGTCTTCCTTTCTTTATCGAAGTTTATCAAGGGAACCAGTTGTATAAATTGGATATGGATTGGACACACACTCGCTGAGGAGGCCACTCGCTGGGTGACATCGCGCGTGAGGCCATAGCTCGAGTGGAACCCGAAAGGGAAGCGGAGAGTGGGACGTCCAAGGTTGACATGGAGGAGATCGTGTGAAGAAGAGTTGAAACAGTATGGACTAACATGGATGCAAGTGAAAAGTACAGCAGAAGACAGAAGTAAGTGGAATTAATGTTGGATTGAGTGACTATTAACTGAAAACTACGAATTATTAATATTGTATTGATTTTATAAGACTGAATATTCTTCTCAGTTACTTCCTGTTCTTCATGTCCATAAAAATTAAAGTATTATTTTTACTAAAAACATTAAGATTTTTGTAAAATATCGAATCATTGACATCAATAAATTACAGTTTAAAAGCATCTATAAGGGATAATGCGCGTAAAAATGTAACATTAAATTGAATATCAGACATATTAAGTAATAATAATAATAACAGTGATACAGAATTTATGAATTTAAAGGTCTCACAGCAGGCGAATGTATCACAGAGGTTAGGACGCTCGTCGACCATGCATCTGGTCCGGGGTTCGATCCCCTGCCGACGCACACCTGATATCAATTGTTAGCCTGCAAATTTGGGCTACCGACATCGCATGCTAAAAATTCCATACTTGTGCCAGAAATACAGTGTAGAATCAAGCTATATAATCAAAAATAATTTTTAAAAATGGCTGGACCTGTCTGTTTCTTTTGCAAACACAGCTCCGGTTGTTTTAAGCGAATAGCAATAGTCTTTGCTGTTTGAAGTATTCCGTACCCCGAAGCTCTTTGTAATTTAATCGGTACTTGGTAGATAATAGGGGAAGATTCTGCGATACTAGTTTTCTGGCCCGTTTAGTTGGGGTAGTCTTATATCGAACTGTTGATGGTTTTAACCACACCCTTATTTAGCCCCACTGGTAAGTCTTCTGGAGCAGGGAAAACTAAGTTCCTAGAGCGATGGACTATTTAACTGGCTCCATAGGAGTAGTTGAACTAACAGATACAAGAAGAGATGGCTAGCGTATGCACTTTGCTTGTCACTTCAGGAATCAAAACCAATTGTGTGCAAAAGAAATGAGCTGTAGCTTACCGGCATTAAAAGTTCTTAATGGACATATATAATTACAGAACCTAATGAAGCTGTTAAAAAAAAGAATATTTTAATGTCTAACAGGACACTGCAGCATTCCTAGACAGAAACCTGATTTCATTCTGAATATGGTTACGACTACTAGTTGTGAATTTCTAAACTGTTTAAAAAACATGCCACCTTGACGACCAGTGACCATAAAACTTTTGTATTCACAGCAGTATGCTCTCTGCTAAGCTTTTCATCCCATAAACAATTGGGAATTAAATTTAAAAGTTTCTCGTTGAGTATTCATGTTGCTACTAATTTGTCCAACATTTATTTTAACTACTTTTGTATCCTTAAGTAATGCAATGATGTATCTATTAATGATATCCTCCCGTACGGTGCCAACATAGGAGGCGTTCAATATCCACTACAATTACTAGCTAACAATAATGAATGTTCAACTATTTCTCAGTAGATTTTTTCCGCCCTACTGATAAATGAAATGGCTCACGCAATGGTATTGGGAAGTGTTCTCGAGTAATGCGTGCAAAAATATATATCACATAATACTAATCTTCCTAATATAACACGACAACTAATTGTACAACAATAATGACCCTAGTTCTGGGCGTCTCTCAAAACTAGTAATTAATATATGATATGATAATTGGATGTTTCTCTGATTGACAGATGGTCAATATTTATGAAATTTGAAGTCTAAGGGGTAGATTTGCAGGCTAGTCATTGTCAAAACATACCATCTGCTTCGTCATTTTTTATATTATTTTTATATTACTGGAAGTACATGATAGACATTTTTACACAGGACAATAATATTAGTTCACACAATATAAAAGTTAGCATAACGGGACTAGTTAGTTAGTGCACCAAAATAACTATAATTACTAAACAGAATATAAATGTATATATACATATTCATCACTCCCTAAGTACTCCACTTGCTTGCTTTTGCGTTGTTGTTGTTTGTCTTCTTTTGTCTCTCACCATTTCAGCTTCCATTTGACTTTTTGAATGAGAATGAAGAATGTAGATATTTGCCCATTTACAATGACAAATGATCTGCAAACATTATTGGTCCCATATCTTACGATTCCCTCGTGAATTACGCATTACCTTTCCCTGGATTACAGTTGTGAAATATACCTTTATACCAATAAAAAAGTATTGATTTATAATACTTCACGATTGTAACTTACAACATAACTGATCTTGTCTGCAAAAATAGCTTGCATTTCTTGAAAACACCCGTTTATAAGAAAATATAAACTGTCATTATTATTAGTCTACATTGAGTACTATTCACTTGTGATGTTACGAAGAAAATGCTGACAAAAGTATACAAGTGTATTTTAAATTATTATCAAATTTGGGTATAAATCAAGAATAAGACTTGATGCCGTACACACCAAAGTTATATGGAGGAATTACTTCAAGCTTTATTTTTTTTCCCAAGTATTTTTAGTCCATCCAAAACATACTTGGGTTTTTTTTGTTAATGCGAAGACAATATTTCTATATTTCTTGATGTGCTCCATTGAATGACTAGTTATCATATTGTTCCCATAGA